TGTCAGCTCTTTCTGGTTTAACAATGCTTGAGTCAAGATTGATAAATTATATATGAAAATACGACTGTTTAAGGGCAAAATGCAGCTAACAATTATATTTTATGATGTCTATGAATGTCACATAAGCTACTGTGCATAGAAGCTCAGGCACTCTAGTGTAGTGAATACAGCTAATATCATTATAGTATCTAGCAATATTAAAGCTTTTATGCCAACAATTAAAAAGAGAATATTTTCCACATTGCAAAGACTTTGTCGAATAATGAAAAAAATGAATACTATAATGTCAAAGATAATCACTGCTAAAGCTGAGTTTGCCCTGCGTAGCACAATGACTAACAATGACAATTTTGTTTTAAAGTATCTGTGGAAAAGCTTTGTCCCTAGGATACAGCTCTGAGTGGCTCACTATCTAGGTTGAAAACGGCTGTGCAGGATTGTATGTCCTATTTTTCCATGCCTGCAGTAAAGATACAATATGGGAATTCAGCTTGGTAATTACTAATACACCACACAGACACAATTACACCCTGTATGCTGCATAAAGGAATCACTTGTGGTCTGCATCCATTACAAAGAGCGGTAGGGGGCCAACATGCAAAACGGCAAAATGCTCTACGAGACGGAAGGAGACCAGAAGAGTGGATGTACACAGATACAAGGACCCTGGTTCTTCTAGCAGTGACTTAAGCCTCATCCCATCAGTTGGCGTCGGGTGTCTCAGGAGTCTTAGCAGCATTACAGGAACAGAAAACAACAATGCTCGGAGCCACAGCACCCCTGACCTGTGCTGACATTTCCACACCCTGTTGCTATGTTTGCCCTGGTTATTCAGATTACTTAAGCAAAAGAAAATGGTGTGTGTGTGTGTGTGTGTGTGTGTGTGTGTGTGTGTGTAGGCACCACCATAGCAAAAACAGTCTGTATATTTGTTTTAAAAAACAGCTTACTCAGAATGCCGTTCACTTAAGGCAGAAAGCCATCCTCTAAAGATGTTATTTATTTATTTATTTTTTTAGGTGGTTCTATTCCATTTTAAAAACGAAAAGAAAAAGAAATCTGCTTGGGTTAAGCTAACTCTAAGAAAGTGATTAAATAGGCTCTGTCGGGGGATATGGTCCTCCAAGAGTGTCCTACACCAGGGGCTAAAGCAAAGTGCATGAGCTGCTCTCCAGCTCCAGTGAATCACAGAAGCAATTGCTTTCCGTGAAACTTTTCAAGTTTGGAGTTTAATTGCAAGCCGTAAGTAGGGTTTTTATTATAACAGAGTTTCCTGTTAATTATTACATGATGTACATTATTTTACAACATTTTCCTTTAAGAATCATTTTTCTTTTTAAAAAACTTACAATTATGAATTTTTTAAGACCTTAAAAAAGTTACTTCTGGCAGCTTGTCAGGTTCTGTGAAACAAAGCCTTGTCTTTTAGAAAATGTTTACAATCTATGAAGGGGGAAAAAAAGTATCCCCGGGCTAAACTGTTTACTGGCACCTCAGAGTCCGAAGAGAGAGCTGGCCTGTGGTTTCTGGAGGGCACTTTAGCATGGCCTGTGTTCCCAAAGGTTGCTCTGAATGAATAGAACTGGATTACTCAGCCTTCTATTCCACGCCTATTCCTCTCCATTTTCTTTGGCACGACAGAGAGCCAGGCTATTTTTAGTTAAGCAGTTTTCTATTTTTAGGCAACTGGCAGTTAGAAGACATTTGTTAGGGAAAAAAATTTAAACACACACACAGACACACACACACACACAGACACACACACAGACACACAGACACACACACACACACACACACACACACACGGAGGAGGGAACGGAGCCTCACCCCACATATTGTGAAGCAGCCTTCAACCTGCAACTCTAGGCATTTCAGCTGCTTTCAATCTGGGAAAATAAAGAGAAATTCAGAGTTCAGGGTTTTAAAAATAAACCTACCCTCTGGCTAACAGACCATAATACAACAAGCTGTTACTATGTGGAGCAGTGACTATAGAAACAAAGAACATTCTCCAATGATTAAACTAAGAGAAAAAGTTGAGGAGCGATTAAGGTATAGGAATGCTACACAAGTCTGCAACAGTTTTCCAGCCCCTCGGCCAAAGCATCCTATTTTAAAATTAGGGGTGGCGACTCCTCTGTCAAGTTAAAACAAGGGTGTGGGATACAATATAAAGCTGAACTTCTTAATCCGACTTAAGACAGATACACACTGCAGTTTGCTAATGTACTCTATGATACTTTTCTAAAATGGTAACCACCTGTTTACAGAGAAATTCCATATTGAAATTGCTAACCAAAATGGGAAATCAGACCCTTATATATCCATACCATGGATTAACGTGATGTACAAATACATTTTATGCCTCTGTGTCATAGCATTTATGTATTCACTTAATAGTTAAACATGTATCTAATGTCTGTAAATTATTAGTCGCATGTTTACTTTAAATGGGAATAAATGACTTACAGCCGTGTTTAGCACATCAACTTATCATTCTACTTATCACTCAAGGTCCCACTTTCATCTAAAATCTACCGCGAGGGGCTGGAAAGATAGCTCAACCAGCAGTTAAGCTGCTGCTTTGCGGGGACTCATGTTTGGTTTCCAGCAGCCACATCTGGTGGCTCAGAACATCCTGTAACTCCAGTTCCAGGGAATTCATCACACACACACATCACCACTCCAGAAACACACAATTGAAAAACAAAAACCTCTATCATTCACTTTTTAAAAGCATAAACTTTTAATAATATCCACTCTAACACACTTTCAGGTGCTCACAGTCGTAATTTCTTCGCCCTCAGCTAGCCCACCCTGTTTGTAGTAATGCTTCCCTAAGCTCAGGTCACTGGGCTTCACCGTAGTCACAATTGCATCTCCAGTAGCCAGCCACATGCTTGGCAAGTAGACTTCAGCTTCACTATTACCTGCTGAGTGAAACAGCAAGCACTTGTGTGTGTTTTGTTCAACTAGGCTATCAGTTCTGGGTGGGACAGCGAACATGTCACAATCACTTTATTTCCCACAATCATTTTATTGCACCATGTCTTGCATATTTATTTTTAAATATTTGCAAAAAATAAACAATACGTTGAGTTCTGTTTAAATGTCTGATTTTTTTATGAAATAGCTCTTTATGCTAGATGTATTATTAGCATAAAATATTATGTTTCTTCAAGCTAAGAACTTGTTTATTATTGTTTTTTTTATTCCCTAAACTTTCTCCTTGACTCTCAAAGAACAACCAAGTTTTATAACTGAACAGTTTACAATGTGCTCTGACATTTTTTACAACCCACAATCCAACTGACAGGCACAGGGAGAACACAGTGGGACGAATACTAACTCAAGGGAGGTGCCTGCAGCCTAGAGGTTACATTATTTGTCTCCAGTCAGACAATGAGTGTGTTAGCTTTCTCTAACAGTGTTTTTGGGTGCTGGGGATCAAACCCACTACCTCATCACCTCATCCATGGTAGACATATAGTCTAACACTGAACTACATCCCCTTGAAATTAGTTTTAAACTTTTATCTTTATTCCCAATTTGTCGGGCTTTAGAATTTCTACTTCTGAAAATTAAAATCAAAAGATGCAATTTTTAAAAATGCTCCAGAATAAAAAAGTGACCATCCAGCTTCTGTTTTTTTATATGACATGAACTCAGAGCAACCATAATTAAGGAGAAGCCTCTGGTGTCTTTGTGTCCTGTCACCATAATCCCAGCTATCTCAATGGACAAGTGCTAGCCCACTAGTACACTTCCTACTGTCCATAGGAAGTCTTGATGATGCATGGCTATGTATGAGGTCACTAATTACATTTGATTTGTGAGTACTTGGAAATACATCCAGACAATGAGATAGAAGATCTGAGCTTTTATTTAATGTCAATGTATATAAGTATATAAGGTTAGTGGCTTCATTTAATATTGATTGCTGACCTATTTCAGCTTATCTAAAATCTGGTTCTATCTAGGACAATTCACATTAATGACAGAAATGACTTCATTTATCATCATATCATAGATGCTAAATGCAGAGTTTATTTAAAAGTGTATACATTAGAACAAAGGTTGTAACTCAATTAGAGAGTGAAAATGAATGAAAATTTTGCCTTGGTAATGCAGAAGCATGCATGGGCAGCTCGTATATGGCAACTCAGTTGAACTTGTCCATATTGCGTCTCATCACCTTTAAGTTGATGAAGACAACTGACCAGGTCTCTTCCTCAAGAGGGCACCAGATCTCATTACAGATAATGGTGAACCACCATGTTGTTTCTGGGAATTGAACTCAGGACCTTTGGAAGAGCAGGCAGTGTTCTTTGCCACTGAGCCATCTCTCCAGGCCCATCTGCCTCCAGTAGGAGGGTACTTTACCAGAAAGAACAAGATTCTGGAATTGGACTCTTTCATCATCATCATCATCATCAACAACAACAACACACACACACACACACACACACACACAAAACAAAAAAACAAAAACCACATATAACAAGTTTGAGAAACATTGTGTTTCAGAAACTAAAAGAATAACATGGATTGGTTTTCAGTTAGTAGCTATTCCTAGGGTCACTATAACCTCAGTTTTCCTCTCCATGAAATGGTCTTCTTGCTATTATAGACATGACATTTGTTTCCAAATAAGGGGAGATTTGCACATTGTTTTGACAAATATGGCACATAATTCAGAAACTGAGGAGTTACCATTATTAACTCATATAGCCAGTCTTTGGTAGTAATTTTTTTATGAGAATAAACAAACACTCATTTATAGTTACTGTTTATAATGCTTCCTCCCTTAGAGCAGTAGCCCCAAGTAGTCACCAAGTCTATTTACTAAAACATAAAGATAAGAGATTTAATTGATATGAAGAGGCTTTCAGAATCTAATTAACCTCCCAGTTAGTCATTAACTCTATGACCTTTAGAGATAATTGACAGAAAGTTTCTTTTCCTTCTTCAGTCCCTCTGAAGTGGCTGAATTTCAGTGTAACATGAAACATGCTGGGAACACCAGTGAGGTGTAACTGAAAAATGTGGCAAATAGGAAGCTACTGGTAAGATACAGTGTTTCTGATAGCATAGGCTGCCCATCTCTCTGTGGTGTGTGCATGCGCCACCAATGTAATTACGGTTCTTTTTTAACATGATTTTTATTGATTCTTTGGGAAAACTACAGTTCTTTTAATGATTGGGTTTCATTATCTTTTCCAGACTGTCCTAAGGATTCTTACAACCACGAGGACCATGAAAGCAGTGGGAGAGGTGGAGAGATGTAACCTGCACTCCTAAAACACCCCAACCAGTCACATTACATTTCCCCAACTAGTTTGAGCTTGGACCAAGGAACCTCTTCATCTGCTCTAAGAAGCCACAACCAAATGACTACTCAGTGAGGAAGGGGACATAGGGCAATACCTAAATGCCTTGCTTGTCCTAAGTGTGGTTTTTCTGCTGAGGCATAATGGGCGTCTACAATGGCACTGCCTAGAAAAGTCAACTCTCTTGCTTGAAGAATTAGTTTTGTTGACTATCAGTTTAAAGAAATATTACTGACACTCTGCTGAGATTCTTTGGTATAGCATGACCCTGACCACTCAAACTACAAAGAAGAAATGATGCACAGTTAAAATTCAGAAGCCAGTGTTCACAAAGATCAGCATCAACGGGAAGCATGTTAAAAATACACAGTCCAGTGTCACACGCAGACCTATTCCAAACACTGAAACCAACATTTTTGAAAGGCACTGCCAGTTATGCAAGACTGAGCCAGAGGCAAATTGAACCATTGATCCTTCTTGCTAAAGCCAGATAAAGTCCCTGAAATTTATTCTTCTCTAGTAATCAGTGGACCTGGGCCTAGAGGCCATTTTGGTTTTCTTGCCAGAGCTAGAAACAGTATTTCTCCCAGGTCTTCTATATCTTTTAAGTATCAGTATGCATCTAAGTGGATGTATGTTTTGTCATTGTCTGTGTGTAGGGCACACATGCACAATGTACATGTGAAGAATACAAATAAAATTTGACTGCTATTTCCCAAGTTTCAGCTTGTTTTGGGAAGAAGGTTTTACGCTGAGATTTGGGTTTGTTCGCAAGGAAGCTCTAGGGATCCTCTCCTAAGTGGGTGCTAGAAATCGAACTCAGGTATGCGTTCTTGCACAACAAACATTCTGGGGTCATCTTCCCAGCCCACATTTGGTTCTCTGATGGAACAACAACTTTTATTCTCTCTAGCTCACTTGAAGAAGTCACTTTTATTATTAGAGCAGGTCAAATACAAACAGAAAGTCTTTATACACTTTAATTATACTACAATGATCATCAGAAGTTGATGTACACAGAACTCCTATGGTGTGCTATTGTCATAACCCTCAGTCAGAGGAAATCTAGTTGTAATTTTAAAAAACAAATAAAAACAAAACACCAAAACACTCCAGTGACATAATCCATGTATTAGAATAACAAACTTTTCCGTTATGAGAGGAGCCATTGTCTTTTTTCCTGATTTTAGTCAGAATGAGAATTATTTCAAATACTTCACTTTTGATTGGGTAACAAATTTGTTCCACCTTTTGTTATTTTATTTGACACTTTTATAACTTATAAAGTAATGAGCATTATTTGCCTGTTACCAACAGCTAGCACACTCTCCTTGATTCAAAGAGGTCACAACTATCAGATCCTACATGCTATAAACTGTGAATATCACCAAAAATGGGTGATCCTGATCTAGGCTAAGTGTCCACCCACCTTGATTATAGATATTAAGAGAAAAAAAAAGATATTAGGGTTTTGCTTTGTCACAGTTTAAGGAAGTTCAGTTGAAAGAGTCCCAATGACAAAATAGTACTGATTAATACTGATGAAGTTCGTCTTGGCAAAGGCTGTGCTTTCAAACGCACCATGCTTTCTGCGCTGACTATTCTTGATTCTCTGATGGCTGCCAGTACTGAGGCTGTAAAGCCAGCAGAGCTGTGAAGTAAGAGAGCAGAGGAAACTCAGTCTTGCTGCTTCGTGCACAGAAGTGAAACAATCTAGCATGCACACTTCTGTTCAAAAATTATTTTCTTAATAAATGAGATGCAAAGCAGATTTTTATGTTCATAAAACATATGCAAATGAAACAAAAGCAATGTTTTCGAAAAGGAGTGGCTTTTCAGAAAAAAATCATTGTAGTCAGCCATGGGATGGCGGTGCACACCTTTAATCCCAGCACTCGGGAGGAAGAGACAGGAGGATCTCTGTCCGTTTAAAGCCAGCCTGGTCTACAGAGTGAGTTCTAGGAGAGCCAGGGATACATAGAGAAACCCTGTCTTGAAAAACCAACCAACCAACCAACCAACCAGCCAGCCAGCCAGCCAGCCAACCAACCAACCAACCAACCAACTGGCTAACTAACCAACTAACAAGCCAACCAACCAACCAGCCAAACAAACAAACAGAAACCATTGTAGTATACTTATGAGAAATGAGAGTCCATCTGAAATTGTAGTCTCTCTTATTAGGTAGGACAAACACAGATATAATTTTCAGGTCTTAGTAAAGTCTTTAAAGATACACACACACAAGTTAAAATACAATAAAAATTCTTAAAAAATTCAGTTTACCTCTGTGTCCTTGGGAAGTTCAACATAAAATGTTTAAATATTTATGGGATATGCTAATATTTTGTTAATTCAAGTAATCTATTGAAAACAAGTCTACACTTGATTTTCCACACTGCAGCAGAGGTTTCTTGAGTCATTAGCTACGTGAACTATTTCAAATATATTTTGTCATAAATCTAGGAAATATTTGTAATGTAAATAAAGAATAGTTCTTTGTATTTATTCATAAAGAGGACTTATTCGATGGAAATTGCTAAGTACAAAGTTAAGCAGTAGTCAAATGTTGCTTGAAGCAAATTTAAAATGGTAACATAAAATATCTCCCACCTCCCCATTAAGCATCTTCAAGCTAAAGCTAAAGAATAACCCCGCACCACAACCCCAACCACATGGTTGGCGCTCCCCTACAGTCTAGACCACTCTCGGGTATTTCCTAATCAAACTAATCAGTGAGGTTACTGATTGACTGTGGTTACTGGCCTGAGGTAAGATGTGTGTCTAGTATTACCAAGTACTGAGCTCCAGACCGGTGTCTTGTAGAAGAATGCTTGCACTCTGCATTCTAAAGCTATAACGCTGGGACTTGACATCACTTGCACTCCTGAAATGCACCCCTCACGCTTCATGTTGAAGGATAAGATTATGAGAAACTGAAGAATCCATCCTGGTGTTAGTTTGAGGGTACAGCAAGTTAAAAGAGTCCATCTTTATATTTCACTACAGACCAGTGTGGTCTCACGGACCTTTTGTGATAACCAATGGGTCAGGATCTTCCCTGTCAATGCAGTAGCCACTGGCCCACAGATGGCCACAGAGCACAGAGATGTGGCTACTGCTGTTGAGGAAATGAATCATAAAATTCAGTGAGCTTTGTTTCACTTAACGTGAAGAGCCCCATGTGGCTAGTGGTCGACAGAGTGGGGTGACGGAGCTAGATAGTGGTTTTTTAAAAAAGACTTAGAAATATTTGAGTATTGTATGTATATTATTCTTTTCCTCCCCCCAACTCATCCTATGTCACTCCCCTTATAAAATTTATGGCATCTCTTCCTTCAATTATTGTCACATACACATACACACATATATGAATAAACACAGAAATACAGCCTACTGAGCTCATCTCTTGTGACTTGTATGTATACATTTTTAGAGTTGACCATTTCATATTGAATAACACACTTGAGGGCTAATTCTTCAGGAGGACCGATTCTCCCTCTTTCAAAAGTCATTAATTGTGGATTGCTCTTCACCTACGGGCTGAGCTTTGTGCCATTTCCCTCATTTCTTTTGACATGTCAATCACTGACACTCTTCAGGTCTTATTTAAGCAACTGTAGTATTGCGATTTCATGGGGTCAGCTTCCCTGTCACATATAGAGGACAGAAGCTCATAGGAGATGTCTTGGTCTTCTGACTCTAACCATCTTCGTCTTCTGTGATGTCCCCTAAGGGGTTGGTTTTATTGTAGATGTTATCAGTTGGGGCTTGGTACTCTATGGTCAGTTGTTCCCTGCATTTGTGACTAATTGTGACTAATTCTCTCTGTCTTAAGCCATTTCACTGGGATATGAAAATATTGTTTTTAAAATTTAAGTGAGTAATATTATTCTCTGGCAATGACTGGGTAATGTGTGTTTATTTCCTGTCTGCTTATTCCATTAAACGCATTCTGAGCACCTACTGCTCTTCAAACCTTATGAACGCTGGTGCTGATGCTCAGTCCCTGTCCCTCAACAAGTTTCAAATCTAGTGTGTAAGCATTAAGTAGGTAATCATCCCAATAGCTCTCTGAGGTGGAGGTGGAAGACAGAGCACAAGATGACTAGGCTATGAGGAAAGCACTTAATACAAGGGTAACCTCTAATGGCTCACAATTTGGGACTTTACTTAATGTAAGGATAAGTAAAAGTCAAAGACCTAGTACTAAACCATGATGAAGAAGCAAATAAGAGTATAGAGAGGTTGTGTGGGGGGAATATGTGTTGTGTGTCTGAAGCACAGGATGCAACGTGTCAGGACAAGGTCAGCTGGGCGACAAGCAAAGGCAAAAGGGCAATGGCAGGGCCACATGGCTTTGTGAGCTACTTTAAGAATGAGTTCTCAAGTTGCTTTGGTTATATTTGCACTTCAAGCATTCCCTGGCATGTGGTACACAGCAGGAATTTGGCAAATCTTTGCTGGGTAAATGATTGAAGAAATGGTAATCCAGAAACTACCGAACAAGTCCGTGAGTGTGCTTTCTGCTAAGTGTTCGTGTGTAATATAAGTTAGGGTACATGGAAGCTAATAGATCTATATTCTGTAATTATGAATTATATTGGTTTGGCTATAGTAGAGGGTCAAGTAAACAGGTAGTTTTCATATCTTGCACCCAACTTCCAATTCTGTAATACTGATCTGTAAAGAGTTTCAGTTCTACCTTTTCCTACAATTGTTCTTCAACAGAAATTGAACTCAGCAATATCTAGCCAACTCTGCAAGAGCAGTTAAAGACTGGGTATAACCTTCCAGCAGTACTGAGAGGCAGCAAAGGTTAAAAGCTATTTTAAGGCCTTGTAAGTCCTAATTTAGGCCTTAGCCATTACTGCACTTAGTGGGCAAAGAAAGACTTTAATGCAACAATGTCTTTAAAGCCAAGCAGGACTCAGGTGACAGAAAATAAACCTTTAGCTAAGTTCTCCTCCCTACTTCCATCTGTCTGTCTGTCTCTGTCTGTCTGTCTGTCTGTCTGTCTCTCTCTCACACACACATACACACACACACACACACACACACACACAGAGAGAGAGAGAGAGAGAGAGAGAGAGAGAGAGAGAGAGAAGGGGAGACTCATTGATCAGTCTTGCAACTAAAAATAAAAGCCAATATCTTCTACTGACACAGCTGTGGTACTAGGGTTTCTTATCTAATAGGTGTTGTATTCATTTCTGTATTTCCAAGGGAACAGTGAAGGACCTTGCATTTTTCTCCTCTTTAAACATAACAGTTGGGCATTTGACCCAGACAGGATCACCCTTCCACAGAATAGCAGAATGACAGGAGGTCCTTTGTTGGCTAACTACAGGGGCTAACTACACTCACATTTGGGCTTCATGTTATGTTTAGTAGTCCTGAAATGGGTATGGCGGTTCCCATTAGTCCAATTACCACTTGCAATATTCCTGCAGGATGCATGTGCTGTCATGTAGTGCTGTTGTACTGTGAGTACACACTTTCCTTTCAGCAGTTTATGTGGTATTTCTGGGGCATTGCTCCTTTGCCTTCTAATTGTTCCCAAGGCAGTTTCTGCATATAGGTTTTCCATCTTTAACAAGAACGCCTACTTGATTCTGTTCAGAATGCAGACATCACCTTGCTGGGCACTAATCCTGTAGGATCTGTATTCTTCAGGTCATTCTCAGGTATTTAACAAATACTTCTTCAGGAATGCAGCCCGAGAGAAACTTCCAGAGTCTCTTCTATCAGGGGACCAGTGATGACGGGCAGTTGTTCTTCACACTACCTGAACTTTAGAGCCTCGTAAGCCAGCACTTGGGCAAATATTTAGTTTTTGTATTCCAGAGCCAAATAAAATGGACTTTCTTCAAAGGAAGTATTTTAAATACAATAGCTGTTTTTGTTTCCTTTTTAAACAATGGATTACAATTTTTAACACATTTACTAAATCTGGCATATTTATATAGTTTATCTAAACAGATATTCAAGCTGCATTATGATACAATGGGGAAAAAACTATCTCAGTCTATCTGCTAAGCCTTTGTGTGTCTCTGTGCCATTGTAACAGTGGTGCTAATTATCAAGCAAAGACATGGTAATTACACAGAGCTTTTTGCTAAAAGGAGAAATCTCTTTTCAACACCCACGCACTGCACACTTTCCTGTGACCCTCTAACCAACCCTGCTCGAGCGTGGCCCAGGAATCTGCACTTAGGTCCCCATGTTAGACACCGTTCTATTCTCTCTCTCTCTCCAACCTTTCCTGCTTGGGAGTAACTGTTTGTAGAGGGTTAAGGGCGAGAGGCAATGGTCCAAATGGGAAATGCAAAACTAATGACCCTTCATGGAACATATTATTCTCCTCATTAGACTTACCCAGTTAAATGTATTCCATTAAATTAAAATAAATAGGATTCAAAATTTCACCCAGGAGTAGTAAGCTATCTTCACTGTAAACTTTGTGTTAGACCTGTTCTAAGTGTGACTTCTGACGGCAGAGTCTTAGTCTGCAAGACCTGTTCTAAACTTCTTCCGACTGCACTCTAAGTGATGGCTACTACAAAAGTTTGAAATCTGGCATACCTAATTATTTGAGGGGACACGTTATATACACTTTCCACTTGAATGTCTTCTCTCAACTGTTCTGATTTCAAGGCTCTATGTTGTGAAAAGTGGCATATGTGATAATGATATAAAACTTTATCAGTTAGAGACTCTGCCTTAAAATCCTCTCCCTCACCAGTCATTTCTAAAATCCAGGAAGGTCAAATCATGAAGAATGAATGTTATTGAGATAACCCATCAGGATACGCTTATAATGTGTTAGATTTATATTTTGTATTCACCCAAAATACTGAGCCTCGGACTCTTGATTTTGCTGGAGAGTTAGAAGCTTAGAGCAATTCAGAGCTTTATTCTGCTTATATCTCATACAAGGCCATGAAATGAGAGCTTTACTACGGTCTTGAATGGTTCTTTCAGAAATTATATTGTTGCAAAGGATTTTCAAACTATTTCTGGAGCACTGGAAATAAGACCCAGAGTTTCCCATATTCAGGAGATGCTCTACCATTGAATTGAAATCCTTAGCCCCCTTCGTTTTTGTTTTTTTGTTTTTTTTTTTGAGATGAGAAACCTTCAGCAGGAGAAAGAGCCAACTTGCCACATAACGTGATCCTGCAAATCTCAGACTCTTGGCCCAGTGTTCATATCACAGCCTTTATAGAAATCTAACTCTCAGATGTCCCTCCGTACAGCACTATGAAAATATCATATGGGGTGCCAAACTGCAAGTCACCCAAGTCATGCGGCACACTCCTCCGCAAAACTCAGTATATGAATCTTCTAAATTATAAACTCACAAAAGCAGAATTTAAAAGTCAACATATTTTCTCATCTATCCAGTAAAGTTCTATTGCTCCACATTATATGAAGAGCTGTCTAGTCCAAGGACATCAAGTCCATTGTCATATTTTAACTCAGTTTGCTATCTTGGAATATATCATGTTAGAGTTTTGGTATGAGACAGCCTTTTGTGTGTGAAGTTCACATACACAGAAGCCCTTGGAGCTTCACAACTAACCAGTTCTTTTATGTTTGGTTTTCATTTTTCAGTTTATATATAGGTATAAAAAGAACTCTTCTAAAGGGAGGAAATTTTCAGTACCAATCTTAAATCTGAGGATTCAGGAAAGTGTATGGCTCAAATCACTAGTCAATGAAAAGCGACAAGGAGAGAGTATCTTCACATACCAAACATAGGTTTCACTGAACTTTTTCCACTGAAATTGCGTTTGTTATTATCGGGTCAATTTACCAAGTGAAAATAAAACCAATATTTTCAATGCTTTTGAAAACTTCAAATAAAAGCAAAGAAATATTTACAGTTTTCAGTGCTATAATGATATCATTTTGAGGGAAATCTTTTTAGGGGGATTAGAGACAGGATTTTTCTGTGTAAAAATCCTGGTAGTCCTGGAACTCGCTTTGTAGACCAGGCTGGCTTCTAACTCACAGAGATCCACCTGCCTCTGTCTCCCCAGGGCCACCAGACCCAAGGAAAAACAACCTTTTTCTAATAGTTGTTTTTCACTTTCTCAGTGAGAGAGCCTTTAAAAGAGAGAGTTAGAAAGAAGTGACGCGTGGAAAGATTATACGGTTGGAACGCATTCACTTGAAAAAAATACTTTGATTCTGTAGGGAAACTATTACATACTTAAAGTAAATTGTTAGTATGCAAGAGTTTACCATTTGGATGACATATCATCTGATCACAGTTCCCAACTCTGGTGTTCAGACACACCGGTGGAGGATACTGCCTGCTCATGAAACGAGCAGCCCACTCATGTGACCCTGGAACTTGATTTCTAGATCCTACATGGCTCACTCCTCAAGCTGTCACTTTAACTTCATTTTGGGAGGCGTTAACCAGGGTGGTGCAGTCATAGCTGGGAGAAAAATTCTGAGACTCTGTACAGGAGTAGGAAGATAGGAAAAGAAGCTCCTGGGCCAGGCCCACACCACGAGGCTCTGCTGAATCGCAGGCTCACGGCGTGCATGCTCACCTCCACAATGTCTGAGTTCGTCCGGCTCTCGTGCGGCTCGTTGTACTCCGTGTACTTGAGCAGCACCTTGTCCATGTCGGTGCTGGCGTACTGGAACAGCTTGTTGGTGCTGTTGAAGATGATCAGCGCGATCTCACAGTCACACAGCACGCTCAGCTCGTAAGCCTTCTTCATCAGTCCAAATTTCCTCTTTGTAAATGTCACCTGGAAGAAGAAAGTATTTTTTAAAAGCAAAACACTTATGCATGTGTGCTGTATGTTTTCACACCACTTTTTTTTTCTTTTTTAAAACAATGGTGTGGAATTGCCAGATCCTTGGGTGCTAACCACGTTCCAAGACAAAGCAAATAATCTAAAAGTAATTTCTGCCTAGAATTCAAAAAGCTGTGATCTCTAGCTAGTGGGAGAACGGTAAACTGTAGATACAAGATTTAACTCAGGGCGTTGAAATGAAGATGATGGGAGAAACAATTGTGTTTCTTTGAGTATCTTAAGATTGTAATGTCAGCATGGTTAACAATTTTCCCAATTATAAATCAAGAAGTTGATTTGTTTTTTAATCATTTGAAAACTGTGCGTGACATTATAAACTTGGAATTTTAGATTTATGTGAAAACAACACACACATAAAATTGTTTAGTCTTGTGCCACTTAATTGAGAGCACTTGGAGGCTGGTGGGTGTGACTTCTAGGCAGAAGCCTCACTCTCCAGCACCTCAGCCGGCCAGGGGAATACACAGAGTATCAGTGTCATTCCTTCTTCTGCTTCCTAGTTTTTTCTCTCAAGTCGGTAGCTTTGCCTTTGACCTTGTCTTCTTCTAGTCTAATCTATGAACAAGTCCATAATTCCTTCCCTACAAATGTTTGTCAAGTTAAGGCTTGCCTGTTTCCCAGACGGCTCTATCACTCACGTTCTCATCACGTCACCTGGTGGCTTCCTGCCCTGCTGATGTGTCCCCATTTAAAATCACTGCCTCCTCAATTCATCCCATTCTGCAGAACCTCACCGACACTCCTTTCCCTCGGGAACTGTTTCCAACAGCTCCTGTTTCCAGTTGTCTATGTTATTTTACTTGCCAATCCCATCGGATCTGAAAGCATGTATTTCACTCTGACATTTCAGTGTTCTTTAAACTTCAGCTTGTCCTGCCTACTAACCCACCCAAAGGCATAAATATCATATATCATAAACCCATATATGGTCCAGTGTTTCCAAGCAAGTGTATACCATATCATTCCCAGAAAAGACTTCCAAGAAAAGCTGTACAGTTTGAGGTGAAAGCAGGTAGGGTAGAGTATCAAAGACCGAGGAAACTTTAAGCAACAAGTTACTTCCAGTTCTATGGCCGACAGTGCCATGTGCTCGTTTTCTTATTTATTTATTTGACAAGCAGATATTATTTTTTGGAACTAGGTTTTTCATACTTTGGGAGTCTCTGACAGTTTATTTGGCTTTTCTTTTCTTAATGCAATGGGTCTTGCACAAGTCAGTTCACTTTTGATTTCCATTTGTTCGCAACTCCCAAATCTAGGTTCCAATCCCTACTTTGATGCTATCTACATTTTAACTTGGGCAAGTTTGCTCCACAGTAACTATCAATGCCTTACCATCTATTTCTTTGTTTTATCATTTTTCTAATGTGCATCTTATAGAATAACCTAGCATTCTATTTTCATATCTGATTGTTTTATTATGGTTTTTTTTGTTGTTGTTTTTTCAAGACAAGATTTCTCTGTAGTTTTGGTGCCTGTCTTGAAATGAGCTCTTGTAGACCAGGCTAACCTCGAACTCAGAAATCTGTCTGCTCTGCCTCCTGAGTGCTGGCATTGAAAGCGTGTGTCACCACTGCCCAGCATGATTATTATATTACTTAAGGAAATTTTATTCTGGTTCATTTGGATGAGTTATGACTGACATTAGGATGGGCAGGAGACTTTTCCACTGAAATTGATAAGTAAGTATAATCATTAATTATAGTGATCTATTAAAATATATTTTAACATTTATTTGAGATGCAATTTTAGGCATGGATTTAACTCCATATTTGTGTTTTATTCAATGAAATAGGCTAAAATGTATTAAATATAGAAGCATGATATAAAACAGTTTCACATATATGGAACCGCTTTTATTGATCACTCAGTATAGGTAGAATGTCTCAACATGGTATGGTTTCTGTTGTACTCAAATCTCAGAATTTGGCATATTATAAAAATCATCACCATAGTATATTCAGGACAGAATATCATTAAAACTACTATTTGTGTTTACTCTCAGATGCTTCTCAACTTTTGTGTAGCAAAATAGGTGCTGGATAATGCATACTAATTTAATAATACCTGTCAAAAAAAGTTAGTGCATGCAGCTTCTTTTCATTGAAAGTGCAATTTGAAATGATGACTGTATTAAAGTAGTTAAGAAAACATCTTCAAAATCTACTCTTAGTTGCTCTAAATTTAATTCTGTATTATGTTCATATTCTTCATGCATACTCAAAATGTATTTTATAATGCCTTTCCCCATTGTTCATAGCTAGATAAAATTGTTTTTAAGCATTAAGCTTTCCAAAGAGATCTGAGATATTACTCTTCATTTAAAATATGCCACTCAATGACAAAGATTGCAATTCAGAGCTTTTATACTTAAATATAATAATGCATTGTAATGATTACATTTTTCATAACCTGACAATAGTTTGTAATGGGGACAAGTCCATATTTCTATTTCAATAGCATATTTTGACCTTAGGTGATACAGAATGCTGATTTTACAGCAGTTAAGAAAAGATGCTCTTTCCAAGTGTTTCCATCATTCAGGATGCATCGGAAAGAATAAAGGCAATATTATCTAAGTGGGCACGGTCATTCAACATCTAGTTTTCAGAATTAAGGAGATTTAATAAATACATTTGCATGACAAGAAGAACTACACTGTAAGCTTTGGCAATTTTATTTTCCCATTGAATCTTTCAATAGCCCCACATTCAATGATCATGATTTATGAAGATATTTCAACACTAGATTTTATAATAACCCTAAGTTTTAAGTCCTAGCATATGTATAGATGTCACTTTTTTTTTTTATTTTCAAGACAGGGTTTCTCTGTAGCTTTTGGTTCCTGTTCTGGAACTAGCTCTTGTAGACCAGGCTGGCCTCGAACTCACAGAGATCCGCCTGACTCTTCCTCCCTAGTGCTGGGATTAAAGGCGTGCGCCACCACTGCCTGGCAGATATCATATATTTTAAGTCAACTTTATTAAGGGGAAATGAGAATTTGAAATTGGAATCTGAAATAAAGCAGTAATATATACTGCAGTATATATATTGTAATATATCTGCAATATATTGCCGCTTTATATAATCCACTTGTAAAGAAATTTTGAAAATTTTGTCAGAGACAGTTTTTGCTGAGAACTTTTCTACATGTCCAATTTATGAGGTACAATAACTATTGAATATTAGTTATTCTTCTTCATGTCATACATTTGTGCTGGATCTTATAATTTCTATTACAGAAAACAGTATTCTTTTAGTTCATGCCATTTCTATGGCTGGAGGAGAAAATCACCAAATGCTTCAATGTTTAAGGGAATTTTTTTTTTCCTTAAGAACAACATACATCATTTGGACAATAAATTTCTATTTCTTCTCATGCCTGATGATTTGGAGTAGCATTATTATCTAGCTGTTTACCTTTAGCTTTTGTTTTTAGGCCAAATTTCTCCAGAGTGAAAAAGCAAACTGACAGATATTAAACCAATTGAGATAATTACAAAATAAGGTTTACTCTCCTGAAATTATTTCTCATGTTGTAATTGGTTAAAACTGCTAGCGGTGCTGTGACATCTCCCTTTGCTTATGGCCACTGGCAGCCTCCGAGCACACTGCAAAGTTTAGCTGAAATCATCATGTCTAAGCTGCTTTCAATGCCATATTCAGATAAAAAAATCTTTCTTTCCTCAGTTGAGTTTTCCAGTGTTATATGATTTATCAGTTGATTGATGAGGCATGGTCTCTCTGTGTTGGCACTGGCCCTTCTTATTCCAGCCTTCCAATTTTTGTGATTACTCCAATAATGCATACGAGTTTTTGTTTTCCAAAGCATTCTAACATCATAGAGCTGATTGCTTATGGGTTTGTCCTTCTTGCTGGCTTTTCTGCTCCCAAGACCCTGAGCTGCCTCCACACAACTAACTTGTGGCTACCGTGTGTGGTTGCTGAATAATAAATTACAGAATAGAAATACCCTATTTTAAATAGTGTTGACTGCCTCAGTATAATTTTCCGTTAAAAGTAGATACTTCCTTTACTTGGCTTTTGGCAATTTAACCTCTTAGAGATAAGATGATTCTGGACTTATAAATATGTAAATATTCTAACAAGTTACTGTCACGAATCTTGAGAGAAAGCAATTATGACTTTTTTTCCATTTTGAAATTTATATTATGGAAAGCAGAGAATTCCCATAACAGAATACATATGCATAGATTCTCCATACTTTAAGAAAAGTTCAATGAAAAGTGTTTTTGACTCTGTGCCTTGATGATGCATCATGAAGGGTAAAAAATGTATGAAGATAGATGTTTATATTTATGGTCATAGACACAGAAAAAAAATGATTGAAAGATGGGGAAAGATGACTCAGTCCATAAACTGCCCATTGAGCAAATGTAAGGACCCAAGTGTGGGTTCCCAGCACCCACATAAGGGCAGATGTGGTACTCATTTGTGGCCAGGGATAGGGGTGTAGAGTCAGGTGGGTTCCTGGAGCTTACTGGTCAGAGAGCCTAACCAATCAGTGAGCTTACTGGCCAGAGAGCCTAAACAATCAGTGAGCTACAGGTTCAGTGGGAAACTTGGTATTAAGAAATGTGGTGGGGAGGACTAAGGAAGACACAGAAAACAGACTTAGAGCCTTCCCATGCGTGAGCATGTGCCCACACATACATGCATACACAGAAATATTTATTTCCTCCTATCCACACATGCAGAGAAAGATCTAGGGTTTTGAGCGACTATATTTGTCAAGCAAACATTCATTGCACCTTCTGATGAGTTCTGGCTTTTAATAAATATGTATTTGTGCATTTGAGAATTGCTGTCTAGCTGAAGAATTTTACTGAAAAGATTAATTAAATAATGAACAGTAAGCATGAAGGAGTCACTAGAAAGAGTTGTGGAATTCAGTCACTTTCTTATCCTAG